ACGGGCCGGTGACCGCCGCGGTGAGCGGGGCCAAGCCGGGTAAGAAGACTCGGGGCCGCGTGAAGATCAAGATGGAGTTCATCGACAACAAGCTGCGGCGCTACACGACCTTCAGCAAGAGGAAGACGGGCATCATGAAGAAGGTACCGAGCCGGGAGGCCGGCCGGCCACGGGGGACCGGGAGGGGTGGGGAGTCGCCAGGGGAACCCGGGAGGAAGGCAGAGCCGAGGCGGAGGTGAGGCGGCGAGTCTGCAGGAGGTGTGTGGGAGGGATGGCTGACACCCGGGAGAGCCAAAGGGGAGGGGCCGCCGGGGAAATGTGGGGAGGGGGAGATGCTGCGAACGACCGGAACAGTGGGGAAACGTGCCGAGGTGGGAGTGACCGGCGTGAGAGAGGAAGAGGGCCCTTGCGGAGTGAAGGGGTGATGAGCAGTAATGAGAGGCTGCCAGGCTGCCGGCGAGGTGGATAATGGGACGGGGTCAGTAGGTCCCCTGCACCTTGGTGTTCTGGGGAGAGCGCCGGCAGAGCAGGGAGCAGAAGAGAAGGTATGTATGGAGGCGAAGAAGCTGGAGACGCATGGCAACAATGAGCGAGCATGTGTGGGAGGAAGGTGGGCACCGCTAGAGTAATGCTGGCTGGAAGCACCGAGGCTGGGTAGGGGGCCAGGTAAGCGAGCAGGGCAGGAGAACTGGTGCTGCCCTGAGCAGCAGGACCTAGTCCCCCGCTGGCCATGTGTCTTCCATTGCATCCACTGACTGGAAGAAGCTGCAAGCGCCTGGCCAGATTGGCTGCAGGATCGCCTGCCATTGGGACAAGGGGTTTCCGGCCCTAGGGAGAATCTGTGTGCCGATGGAGTTTGGAGGGATGTCAGGAAGGTTTGCAGAAGTACCTGTAAATTCCTTCTCTGCCAGCCAATTATCCAGTGAAAAGTGGTGAGGAAGGGAGTCATTTTGGAGTGTAAACCGTATGGGAAGGGATGGAAACAGAGGGAATTGGGAAACAAGAAGCTGGAACCTTGGGAACTTGGCTGGTGTTTATATTCGTCCCTTATGGAAACCGGAGCTGCTCCCAAGGTGGTTTGTGGAACTTCGTTGGGAGTGAGGATGATATCTATGGGGCCATCACTGAAAGTCCCTTTCCTGGGCTCACAGCAGGGTATTTGGTGCTAATCTAGCTTCCATCTCCTATCACTCCACATACTGCTGTATCAGTGTCCCTTGTCACTTGATCATCAGTGGAGAAGGTTGTGGGGGGAGGTGGTTCTTGAAGGAAAGTTCTCTTCTTTATTCTTTATTCTCTTTCCCAAGACAAAGACATATACAGTATTAGAGTGCAGAGGAAGTTAGGCTATGGCAACAAGTTGGAGCCTGTAGTTTCGGGGAAGAAACATGGAAAGGTTGGAGCCTAGTTGGTCCCTGATCTCTAATGCCTTGTGTGAATTCCAGTATGGTAGGGATCCATCCTGGTCCCTGTGACAGTGAGGAGGGGGTGAGGCTTCTAGAAGCTCCAGGCTCCAACCTTTCCCTGTGACAGTGAGGAGGGGGTGAGGCTTCTAGAGGCTCCAGGCACCATGCTGTGGTGGAAAGCAGCCAACTGGATCCCTTCATGTCTCCTGAGGTTATATGTTCCATCACTGGGGACTGTGACTGTTTGAGATATATGCAGGCCAGTGGGGCTGCTCAAAGGAGAAGCATAGGTAGTTTTGCTGCTCCCAGATATCCTGACCTCCCCCCCAGCAGAGTCACTAGAAAAGGTCATTATGGGTGTGGGGGCTTGAGATCACTATAATTCTTCTGTTTCCTACTTCCCAAGGAAGATAGAGATAAAATGTTTTGCTCATCTGCCCATCTCCCTCCCTACCCACCAGGCATATGAGCTGTCCACGCTGACAGGGACACAGGTGCTGTTGCTGGTGGCCAGTGAGACAGGCCATGTGTATACTTTTGCTACGCGCAAACTGCAGCCCATGATCACCAGTGAGACCGGCAAGGCACTGATTCAGACCTGCCTCAACTCGCCAGATTCTCCACCCCGCTCAGACCCCACAACAGACCAGAGAATGAGTGCCACTGGCTTTGAAGAGACAGATCTCACCTACCAGGTGTCCGAGTCTGACAGCAGTGGGGAGACCAAGGTGTGTTTGGGTTACCTATGTGAGAGGAGGGAAGGGGGGCCCTGGCCCGGGACAGGTGGATAGATGCCCACCAATGTGGAATGGATCTGGGTTAGTGCCCCTCATCTTAAGGGACAGGTGACCATCCTCGCTTTCCTGACAGGAGGCCGGCTCCCTAGATAAGCGGGCGGCCTCAGTGCCCATATAAGGCCGGCTCGGGCTCCACGCCGGCCCCCCCCCCCCAGCCCGCCTGCCTGGCAGGGCCTTTGCATTCCTCCCGCCAGCTGTCTCCCGCTGGGGGCGGGGGTGTAGCTTAGTCCTGCCCTCCCTGCCGGCTGGGTCGCCAGGGAGTAGGAAAGCAGCACTCAGGGTCCCAGGGTCCTGGGAGCCCAGCACTGTTGACAGGCAGGCTGGGTGACTGGGCTGTGGTTTACCTTACTAGCCAGCCGCCTACCCCTTCAGGATGTTAAGGGCCTGGACAATTAGGGAGTGCATTCGCCCGCTTCTAGGGAAGCCGGCTCTAGTCACGCCTCCCCCTTCCTTTTCCCGGTAAGGAGAGGGGGCGGGGCATCCTTCCTTGCTGTCTGGAGAGCTCCACCTTCTGGGTGGTCCTTAACTAACTGGCCAACGGGAGGAAGCGGCACTGTTTGCCTTAGCAACGCCTCCACCAATCAAAGCTCTTGAGCCCAGCTGCTTTCGCAAACCTCCCGCGCTGACCCACCCCCAGCTTTTGAGCCCCCTGGTTGCCTCAGTTCTCAGTCTTGGCGTGGCGATTTGGTTCTCAGCTTCCTCCTTCCCCTTCTAAGAACAAAGACTCCCTAAGGGGAGAATCAGTGCTGTAGGGTCTCCCCTCTCTTAGTGGCACATCATCTGTAATAATTTTCAAATCCTTGTAAGGCTCATTTATTCCCAGGACATTCTGGGTGAGTAAATTCTTTTGGTAGTTTAAATCTTGAGTATTTGGCATAAAATGCTTCATTGCCAGACTTCCAAGATCTCTCTCTAACTTTAAGTTACCTGAAAACCTCTCAGTCCCTATCTCAGAAGCCTGACAAATCAGATTTGGAAGAATTCTAATTTTAAAGAGAACAGAGCAGCCCAGCCCCCTCATGTTAATAGGAGAGAAAAACTGAGGCTCAGAAAAGGGAAGTAATGATCTCAGGGTCACACAGATGGTGAGTGCCAGAGCTCGGAACAGATCCTTGGTGTCTTGACTCTCTGCCAATTTGATTACCACAGTTCATTTGGCAGAGGACTCAGGGAATTATAATGATGATGAGTAGAGAATATTTGTTTTGGTCGTTTATGTGCCAAGTACTGTTTTCTAAGTGCTTTACCTATTTAATCTTTACAACAACATATGGGGTAGGTATTATCCTCCTTTTACCAATAGGAAACTATAGCTCAGCAGGTCAGTAACTTGCCCAAGGATCAGACAATAGGTAAATGGTGGAGTTGGGATTTGAACCCAAGCCCATTGGTTTGGTCTGGGCTGTCAATCCACACAGAGCTTCTGTAGGGGCAGGGTCTGGTAGAGACTCACTGCTTCATCTTTACTCTGGGTGTAGGACACATTGAAGCCGGCGTTCACGGTCACCAACCTGCCAGGTACCACATCTACCATCCAAACAGCACCCAGCACCTCTACCACCATGCAAGTCAGCAGCGGCCCCTCCTTTCCCATCACCAACTACCTGGCACCAGTGTCTGCTAGCGTCAGCCCCAGCGCTGTCAGCAGTGCCAACGGGACTGTGCTGAAGAGTACAGGCAGCGGCCCTGTTTCCTCTGGGGGCCTTATGCAGCTGCCTACCAGCTTCACCCTCATGCCTGGTGAGTCACAAGGGGCAGGGAGAGATTCATCCTCCCTGGGGCAGATTGAGCATGCTAAGAGAGGGTTTAGGGCAGCTCCAGGAGAACTTCTTTCCCTACTCAGAAGGAGGTTGAATAAGGGTCAGAGCCTGAGAAAAGCCTCTTTCCCATTGGCAGGCATGCCCTCTGCCCACTGAGACCCCTGCTATCCTTATAAGTTTCAGCCACATGCTCCGGCCTTTTCTTTGTCTGGCCTTTATCATTGTCATGGGGACAGTAGACATTTACCACTTTCCTACCTTAACTGGAAGGCAGATCATGTCTTTGATAAAGGTCATTGTTAGTTCCTGGGTCAGTTGGAGAAAGTAGAGACAAGGCCTAGGGTGGGAGAAAGAGAGGAGGGAAGGGCAAGAGCAGAGCTCAGCAGTCCCTGGAGAGAAGATTCAGGGCATGAGGGCCTCTTTGGCTCCCAGGAAAGATAATGAAAGTCGAGGACCAGTGTGTCAGGCCCTGGGACTGGGGTGTTTGTGGGTGCTTGGCGGAGGTAGCAGTTGTGTGGGACAGAGCACAAGTAAGACTCTGTGTCTCGTAGGTGGGGCAGTGGCCCAGCAGGTCCCAGTGCAGGCCATTCAGGTGCACCAGGCCCCACAGCAAGCGTCTCCCTCTCGTGACAGCAGCACAGACCTCACGCAGACCTCCTCCAGCGGGACAGGTATAGCTCTCAACCCTGTCACCCTCCCTGCCTGCCTTTCCCCTTGAGGCCTAGCAGTAGGTGCCCAGAACTGTCCTATAACTAAGGTCAGAGGATTTCTTAAAGTGGAGACTGAGGCTTTTGGCCTAATCCTTATGGGAAAGTTGGATGAGGATGACTGGGTTTTGAATTCTGCCCTGCAGTGGGGCTATGGATTCCAGGAGAAAATTAGAGACCATTGAAGCCACCTTCTCCACATTTAGGCCTAGAAAGGAGAAGTTATTTGCCCAAAGATACAGCATTTGCTTAATTACTAGGAAGGACTTATCTTTATTTGTCTCCTTGTGGGAGAGTGTTGCTCATTTTGAGTAGCCATAATTCCCCTCAGGGATCTCTGGTTATTTCAGAAAAGATGAAGTACTCTCAAAATATAGTTACATCTAAGTTCTTGTTATTTACAGACTTGTTATGCAAAGTGTGGTCTATGGGCTGGGAACACCAGCATTACCTGGGAGCTTGTTGGAAATGCAGAATCTTAAACCTCATCCCAAACCTGCTCATTCTGAATCTGCATTTTTAACAAGACTCCCAGGTAACCATATGTACATTAACATTTGCAAAGTGCTTGTTTCAAAGATTAATTTGTTTATTGTGCATTGAGGAAGAGGGAGGAGGAATGAGAACAAAAAATGGGATGATGGAGCTACCTAAAAGGGGTGTTTGAGTTCCCTGTGAGTGGGTCAGTCATTGTAATCTTTGTGTTTCCCAAGATGAGGTTCTTGAAACAGAATTCAGCAGACAGACAATCAAGTAGTACAGTGTGGTAGGATACAATGAAACGTTGGTGCTGTTGTATTCAAGAAAAAGTTAGACTTTCTTAGTTGATGACAGGGAGCAGAAGAACAATCTTGTCTGCTTTCTGACCTGGAAAGTGGCAAGAGGGCTTTGGAAGTCTTGAGTTCCTGGGAGTGGAATGGGGGCATCCGTGGGGACCAATACCAAGCTGAAATGTGTCTGTGTTTACCAGTGACGCTGCCCGCCACTATCATGACGTCATCCGTGCCCACAACTGTGGGTGGCCACATGATGTACCCTAGTCCCCATGCGGTGATGTATGCCCCCACCTCGGGCTTGGCTGATGGCAGCCTCACCGTGCTGAATGCCTTCTCCCAGGCACCATCCACCATGCAGGTGTCCCACAGCCAGGTCCAGGAGCAAGGTGAGTAGAGGCGCAGGGCTGACATATGGAGGACTGTTTCCTTCCTTATTCACACATTTAGATGCATATGCTCACACACACACGTTTGGATGCCCACACATATTGCTACACAAGTACACACACACACATACACACAGACATCCATGTACCCTCAGACACACTGGCAGACTTGCCCTTGGGCATTTACATCTGAGACTCACCCAGTCACTTGTGCATTTATCACTACTCCTCTAATATCTGGAAGTTTCTCTTGAGCAAGCAATTTGAATTTCCCCTGTGATTTTCCAATGTAGGTGGCGTCCCCCAGGTCTTCCTGACAGCACCATCAGGGACAGTGCAGATCCCTGTTTCTGCAGTTCAGCTTCACCAGGTAGGTGGGGACACCTTTCATCCCATTCCAGACAGCCACTTCTTTCTCTTCACCTTGGGGGAATCCATTACCAGTTGGTCAAAGCCAGAATCCCTATCCTGGCGGCCCATCTGTTTTTCTGGTCAGGCCTGTGGATAGCAGGCAGGCAAGCAGGGGAGAGCCTGAGCTAGCTGGTCAGTCCCCACACCTCCTCACATACCCCCTTTCCTCCAGATGGCTGTGATAGGGCAGCAGGCCGGGAGCAGCAGCAACCTCACCGAGCTACAGGTAGTGAACCTGGACGCCGCCCACAGCACCAAGAGTGAATGATCCGCCCGCCGCCCTGGACAGATGGCCCAAGGGACGGCACCACTTATTTATTGTTGCCTTTTCACATTTTCTTTACACACATGTTGACGGGCCGCAGGATGGAGGCGGGGAGGAGAAGCGGGCAGCCACCGGACTGAGCCCTCTCACTCCAGCCAAAGAAATGGGCCTGCCTGCCTCCACCCGTCCTCCCTCACCCTCCCCTCCTTCCGCCTCCACCTCCCATTTCTGTTGATGGTGGGGCTGTCCGCCCTCATCAAACTCCCCTCACCAGCTTGGCTCGATGTTTGCCATGAGTATTAGCTTACCCAATGGGACCGTGCCCCACCTTCCCACACACAGGCCTTCTGTGGGACTGGGCACCATGTCCTCCCCTGAGGAGGCAGCGAGGGTCCTTTCTCCAGCCTCCTTGCTGACCTCAGGTCAGCCCTGTGTCTGCCACAGGCTGGGTCAAAAGAGCCCTGTCCCTGCCCCTCAGGGAGCCAGCTAGGGAGATGAGGGCTTCTTCCCTCATGCTGCCGCCCTCTGCCCCTTCAGCTCCTGAGTAGCTGGGCCTGTGCACTGGGCAGGTTCCTGGGGCCGCCTGTCCTGTCTTGCCGCTCCCCTTGGACCTCCTGGTTGCAGGGAACCACCAGCGTTCTCTTCTTCCCTTTGTCTTCCCCCCCCCAGCTGCTTTACTTAAAGTTGATTTTGAACTTTTTATTTGAGGAGACGAAGTGAAAACAAATCTATAAATATATATTTTTAAAATATTTAACTTTTTTTTATGGCGTTTTTCTCATCCCCCTCCCTGCCCAAATCCCCTTCCCTGGGGAGCCCTTGGGCTCCCCAGAACTGGCTGGGCCCCTGGGGACAGAGCCACCCCAAGAGCTCGGGGTCCACCAGTGTGGTGGGGAGATTCTGGGATTGCCCGGTCCTGGGTTGTTGCCAGGAGAAAGCCGGGGGAGGGGCCCTCAGGCCATGCCCCAACGGGGTAGGGAGGGTGACCCACAGCTCTGGGCCTCTTTTTGTCCTTTAGGGCTGTTGCTAGGGAGAGGGAAAAGGGAGACCAAATGTGGGGGTGGGAGTGGGAGGGTGTCAGGTATAGGCAACTGACTTCATTTGTGCCACACGCATGGGCATTGCAGCCTTGTGCTCCCCCAGGCCTGTAGCTGCCTGGGGCCCAAGTTGCAGTGAGCAAGGTGGGGTCTGGGAGGGGGTGAGAGGCAGGAAGGGGGTCAGAAGAAGTGGGAGCAGCTCTTGGGCTGAGTGCAGCGATTGGGGAGCCAGAAATGGGCAGCTCTCCCAGGGAGTGAGCAGCTACTGTAACTTTTTTAAATTAAGACAAAAAGCCTTGAAGAAAATGACTTTATTTTTCTAAGTGTAACCTCAGTATTTATGTAATTTGTACAGGGGCCATGCCCCACCCCCCTCTGCCCCCTTTGGGGTAGACCTTGAGGGTGGACCAGTATAAGGGGGAGGGTCTTTTACCCTGTGTCAGAGCCTACCTTCACCACCTATATCCAGAAAGGGAGCTTTTTCAGAAACAGGGCAACAGTCGGGGTGGAGTTTTATTAACCTGTGACTGCCTTCAGTAGGAACAAGCTTACTTCTGTGATTAGGTGAAGGGGTGGGGGAAGATTTTACGCACAGCCTAGTTATCAAGGGGATGATTTGCCGACATATTTGAGAACCCCCTAACCTCTATCCCCCATTGCTGTCTTGCCCCAGTTTGGGGTGCCAAGATGGAAGTCACTTTTCTGGCTTTCTCCTGGAGATAGCTGGGGCTTATGGGTGGCTTTCAAGGCTGGGGCATGGCAAATCAGGGGCCAGAGAGTGGGGGAGCTTGGGACTCAGGTCTGTAACTGCCCAGCCCCTTTTCTCTGCTCTTGTTTCACTCCACCACTACTCACTCACTCCCCACTTCCCATCCTTGGGAGGAGATGTTGATGAATTCCTCCTCTCCTTCCCACAAGAGACAGACCCAGTGAGTGAATCAGGCAAAGTGCTTATAATGTGTGTTGTGTGAGCGTGGCCTTGGAAGAACATGCGTGTGTCAGGGATGAGGTGGCATTTTTATGTGCAGCGATCCTTGGTGTTTCCCTTCCTCGGTGGCTCTGGGGTGTGTGTGTGTTTGTGTGTGTGTGTGTTTGTGTGTGTGTGTGTGCACCCGAGTGAATGTGTGTGTGTGAATGTGGGTGTGTATGTCAGTGGTTTCTACTTGTCCTGGGATGCTGACCCAGGAATAGTGGACATGGTCACAGTCCTATGTACAGAGCTTTCTTTTGTATTAAAAAAAATACTCTTTCAATAAATGTATCATTTTTGTGCACAGACTGTGGGGTCTTTGGCTCTTGTTTTTCTACATAGAGATGGAAGTATGAACATGAAGGGAACCCCCCAAAATTGCTGCTCTGAGAAGCAACCCTAGATGCTTGATGAAAACCGTCACGCTAAGGGGTGCTTTGGGCTGTTGAACTCTATGATTTAAGAAACATTTTGTGGGCCAGGCTCGGTGGCTCAGCCTGTAATCCCGTCCCTTGGGAGGCTGAGGTGAGTGGATTGCCTGAGCCTGCGGGTTCGAGACCCGCTTGGGCAACTTGGCGAGACCTCATCTCTACAATAAAAAAATTAGTCGGGTGTGGTAGCTTGCACCTGTAGTTCCAGCAACTTGGAAGGCTGAGACGGAAGGATTGCTGGAGCCCAGCAGGTCGGGAGTGGCCACTGCACTCCAGTCTGGGTGATGGAGTGGGACTCCAACTCAAAAAAACCCCAAACAAACATTTTGTGGGACCGAGGACTTTCTCCCTGTGCATGGCATTGCTGGTGCTTAGGCCAACGCAGTTGAGCAATTTTGACTAATAGGAAAAGTGACACAACTAACCCAAAACATTGCTGAGGGGTTTGGGAAACTCATGGGCACGGGACCTATGAAAAAGTCAAAGGAAAGCCCCAAGTGGGAGTGTGGGTTACTGTTTCATCAGAGTGGATGCTATGATGAGAGAATGAGGGTCAGGAAGGCTGATCCAGTGAGGAGGGCGCTTCGCAGTTGACTGAGCCAGTAAAGGGCTTCCTACTCCCGCAGGGAGGAGCAAAGCGACCTGAGTCCACGGCTCGGCTGCCTCGTGCCCTCGCCCCCCTTTCCCTAGGCAGCCGCCCGCAGGTAGCGCGCATGCTCTGCTCGCGCCTCTCCGCCACGCTCGGCGTGGGCCGCGGTGGGACCCGTAGATGCCCGGCCGTGCGTGCTCTCGCCGTGTGACCCGGAAGGGAGCAGCCGAGGAGGCGGGACCAGGACGGCGGGACCTGCCGCTGGTTCCCAGGAAGGGCCCAGCCGGGCGGTGGGAGGTGAGAGGAGAGTTCTGTGCCTACCCGGTCCCTCCCTAACCCTTCCCAACTTTTTTTTTTTTTTTTAAGCTACTCTCCATATGGCTGACGAAGGGAACCAGGTCAGGTGTAGCGCTCTGGGATTCACTCGGTCCTGTCAGCCTCCTCGGACCACGCACCCCCGTCCCCACCCCGCCCCCAAACCCGTTCCCACGGCGGTACCGGCCTGTTCCACCGCCTCACTGGTCTGCGAACTTGAGCCTGACCTTGCTACCTGCTGGTTTCATTCCTGCATCCAGACCTCACCCCACACCCCACACCTTGGTTGATTGCTCCTGTTCTAGGCCCACGTTCCCCTTTCCCCCCTGTTTTACTTGGCCCAACGCTGATCATTTGCACATGGCAAATGGCACATCGCTGGTTACCTCCCAGCCTTGCTGTCCGTGATAAGTGGATCTCTACCTCCACCGAGGTCCACATCCTTCTTTTCCCCTTCCTTCACTTCTTCTAGTCTCATCTTCAATCCCTGTACCCCCACATGACCCCTGCCCTAATCACCGTTTCTTCAGCTGGGTTTACCTTCTGTTCTTATTCTCTCTGTTCTCTGTTGCCCCTACACTATTTCATATCACACATATCATTCTTGCTTATTCCACTCACATTTATAATCTGGCTTAAAAACTTTGCATTTATTTGATGACTCCCCCTGTCTTCTCCATCTAAGAATAATATTAGATTTTGTTTACTGAGCACTCACTACATGCTAGATACTGTTCTAAGTGTCTAAGTTCCTGAGACAGGTATGACTATTACCATCTTGCAGAGAAGGAAACAAGCTCAGAGGTTAACTAACTGGTCTTCAACTAGGCAGATAGTAAGTGAAAGAGCAGGAATTCAGAACCATCTTTATCTGACTTTGAAATTTGTACGATATTGCTTCTCATTCCCTACCCTTAAACCCATGATTACCACCTCCATCTATATCTACCTGACTTAGGTACTTTACTGTACACTCATAAATGCAGAGTGAGAGCTGGTATCTTTTCTGGTAATTTTATCTCGTCTCTAGGTCTCTCTGCCTTTCACAAGACTCTCAGACACTTTTCCTCTCCAGTCATTTGCCCCAGCAGTCCATCCTCCTGTCATCTGTTCTCTCTATCTGCCATGACCCACCCTTTATATTCATATTCCATCTTTACCCTGTCTTTTATACTCCCTGTCATGACCCTCTCCCATCCTACTTTTCCTTGCATGTTCTGACTCAACTATCTCATAAGCTGCTGTCCTTCCTTTCCACTCGTGTCAAGTCCTGATCTGTATCCATCAGCTACCCTGCTATCTTGCCCAGACTGCCCTTGACTGTCCCTCTGTTTATTGTTACCTTGCCTGTTAGTCTGCTCATTCTCTCTTTGTAACCTCTTCCATTTCTTAAACCCCTTCATTTCATCACTTCCCTGTTTCCACTCCATTCTCCTTTTCTTATAAATCCCAAAGTGTGTTCAGCTATTTATTCCATCCTGTTTTTTGCCTTTTCTGTTTAGCCTCTAAATTCTACCATGCAGCCTACCAATCACCACCCACCCTCTGTGTGTCTCAAGATTCCACCCCCCTCCATGTATTTTTTCTTTTCTCATACTGCCTTATTTTTCTCCTTGTGTATCCCAGGAGGTCAGGATGGTGGGGGAACGGCGTGCTGGGGATCTCATGGTGCCCCTGGGGCCCCGGCTGCAGGCATATCCTGAAGAACTCATTCGACAGCGGCCTGGGTATGACGGAAACCCTGAATACCTGATTCGTTGGAGTGTCCTGAAGTGTGGGGAACTGGGCAAAGTGGGTGTAGAGGAAGGCAAGGCAGAGCACATCCTCATGTGGCTGTCAGCCCCTGAGGTCTATGCCAGCTGCCCCATGCTGTTAGGTGAACGAGCACTATCTAAGGGACCTCAACATGAACCAGCTGGGAGTTCAGGAAGCTTTCCTCGAGATTCAGGAGGCCTGGATGAAGTGGCAATGGGAGAGATGGAGGCTGATGTGCGAGCACTGGTACACAGGGCTGCCAGGCAGCTGGCAGAAGGTGGGACCTCAAGCCTCACAGCTGCTGTGCTCCACACCATCCACGTGCTCAGTGCCTATGCCAGCATTGGGCCCCTCACTGGTGTCTTCAGGGAGACAGGAGCCCTGGACCTGCTCATGCACATGTTGTGCAATCCTGAGCCCCAGATCCGTCGGAGTGCAGGCAAAATGCTGCAGGCTCTGGCAGCCCACGATGCTGGTAAGAGACAACCAGGGAAAAAGAAAAGCACTGGAGAGAATGGGGCCACAAGGAGTAAGAACAGATAGAGGAAAGATTTCCCAAATCTAAGTGCACCTGGTATTTGGTGAATATCAATTTGATGCAAAGGAAAAATATAGTTAATAGGCTAGTATAGGCATGTAAACAGAATAAAATGATAGTGTCTGGATTTTCGAAGCATTAACAGAATGGGGTAGATTTGCATTTTTAAAACATTGGATTGAAATTTATGAGCTGGTTTTGAAATCAATTTGGTGGGTTAATCAGCTTTTTTTTTAAGTAAGATATCAGTGGATAGCATTTAATAAGGGGAAATTTTGTAACTTGAAGTATATATTTCAGTTAAATTTGTGTTTGTACCAGGTTACCATGTAAAATGTATTTCTTGCTATGGTAACACAGAAGTAAAAAGCCTCTGGGCTAGGGGCTAGAGTCTAGGAGAGGCAGGGAGAAAGTATTGGGGACTGAGGAGAAGTTATGGATTGGGTGTGGATTACAGGGAGTCGGGCTCACGTCCTTCTGTCACTGAGCCAGCAAGATGGCATCGAGCAGCACATGGATTTTGATAGCCGATATACTTTGCTGGAGCTGTTTGCAGAAACCACATCTTCTGAAGAACACTGCATGGCCTTTGAGGGCATTCATCTGCCTCAGGTACTCTGCCAGCTGTGGGGAAATGCTGTGTACAAGGCCCAAGGTATTATTTCTGAAAATGTGGTTCAGGACTATGTGTCAGAGCCACCTGGGGAGCTTGTTAACATGAAGGCTTGCTGGGCACGGTGGCTCAAGCCTGTAATCCCAGCACTTTGGGAGGCCGAGGCGAGAGGATTGCTTGAGCCCAAAGGTTTGAGACCAGCCTGGACAACTTGGTGAGACCTTGTCTCTACAATAAATCAAAAAATTAGCCGGGCATGGTGGCACACGCCTATAGTTCCAGCTACTTGGAAGGCTGAGGCGGAAGGATTGCCTGAATCCATCAGGTTGAGGCTGCGGTGGCCATGAGTGTGCCACTGTACTCCAGCCTGGGTGACAGAGTGAGACTCCATCTCAAAAAAATAATAATAAAAAAATGAAGGCTCATACCCCTCTTCCCAGCCCCTTCTCACAGAATTTCTGAGATTAGAGCCTAGGAATTTGTTTGAAGACACTTGTTATGTGTTTCTTGTACAAATCAAAGTTTGGGAACTACTGGCCTGGAGATGAGGCTTTTATATTTTTCTGTAGAGGAAGATGTTAGGGGGAAAGGGGAGGAGCTAAGGCTGGGAGGAGATGAGCCTATGCCAAGCATGTGTCTTGCAGATCCCAGGAAAGTTGCTTTTCTCACTGGTGAAGCGCTACCTTTGTGTCACTTCCCTGCTGGATCATCTGAATAACAGTCCAGAACCAGGAGCTGGAGACCAAAACTCCACATGTTCCACAAGGGAGAAAAGCCGAGGACAGCGAGAGCTGGAGTTTAGTATGGCTGTAGGCAACCTTATTTCAGAACTGGTGCGGAGCATGGGCTGGGCCCAGAACCTCAGTGAACAGGGCGCATCACCTCCCCGGCCAACCCGGTCCATCTTTCAGCCCTGCCTTTCAGGCCCTAACCTCTTATTCCCAACCATTGTCACCACCCCCAGAAGGCAAAGGTGGGCCTTCCGCCAGCGCACTGAATTCTCTAGCCGAAGTGGCTATGGAGAGTATGTGCAGCAGATGCTGCAGCCGGGAATGCGGGTGCGGATGC